ATGGGGAAGACTGCTGATCTGACAGTTGTCCAGAAGACAATCATCGACACCCTTCACAAGGAGGGTAAGCCACAAACATTCATTGCCAAAGAAGCTGGGTGTTCACTGAGTGCTGTATCCAAGCATGTTAACAGAAAGTTGAGTGGTAGGAAAAAGTGTGGAAGAAAACGATGCACAATCAACCGAGAGAATTGCAGCCTTGAGAGGCTTGTCAAGCAAAATTCATTCAAGAATTTGGGTGAACTTCACAAGGAATGGACTGCAGCTGGGGTCAGGGCATCAAGGGCCACCACACACCGCCATGTCAAGGAATTTGGCTACAGTTGTCGTATTCCTCTTGTCAAGCCTCTCCTGAACCACAGACAACGGCAGAGGCGTCTTAGCTGGGCTAAGAAGAAGAAGAACTGGACTGTTGCCCAGTGGTCCAAAGTCCTCTTTTCAGATGAGAGCAGGTTTTGTATTTCATTTGGAAATACAAAGTGTGGAGTGTGGAGGAAGGGTAGAGAAGCTCATAGCCCAAGTTGCTTGAAGTCCAGTGTTAAGTTTCTTCCACAGTCTGTGATGGTTTGGGGTGCAATGTCATCTGCTGGTGTTGATCCACTGTGTTTTTTGAAAACCAAAGTCACTGCAGCCGTTTACCAAGAAATTTTAGAGCACTTCATGCTTCCTTCTGCTGACCAGCTTTTTGGAGATGCTGATTTCATTTTCTAGCAGGATTTGATACCTGCCCACACTGCCAAAAGCACCAAAAGTTGGTTAAATGACCATGGTGTTGGTGTGCTTGACTGGCCGGCAAACTCACCAGACCTGAACCCCATAGAGAATCTATGGTGTATTGTCAAGAGGAAAATGAGAAATGGGAGACCAAAGAAAATGCATATGAGCTGAAGGTCACTGTCAAAGAAACCTGGGCTTCAATACCACCTCAGCAGTGCCACAGACTGATCACCTCCATGCCACGCCGAATTGAGGCACTAAAAATGTTTTTTTTATAGGTCTTATGAGGTATTCTAATTTATTGAGATAGTGATTTGGTGGGTTTTGTTAAATGTGGGCCAAAATCATCCCAATTAAAAAACCCAACAGCTTAAAACTACTTCAGTCTGTGTGTACTGAATTTATGTAATATTCCACAATATTCTAATTAATTGAGATGCACCACTAAAACAATAAATCAATAACAATAATTTATTTGGTGCATGGTGTTTTATTTTAAGGTGGCATCTATTTTCTTAATATCAATTCTAATTTGTTTAAAACCAATGTGAACAAAATATCTGTTGTCGGAAGTCAACCACTTCCTCATCGGGTTTCAGATGATGGAAAAAATATTCAGTCACAAAACACCACAAAATACCAAAGTGCACTTAATTAATAATTACCTTTATTGACAGATGCGCATCTGGAGATCACAGCAACAGCAGCCAAAATGATCTGATCTGATCTTTCTAACATTGTGTATTATATACTATTCTTCCCGCCTACTTACATTCCTTAGGATGCAGCTGAGATCAATCAGCACCCAACCAAAGTTTCTATCCCACCATACACAATACTTCTCTCATGACAGTTAAACCTTCCTCCCTAAAACCAAGGTACTTTTTCTGTGATCAAAGGCACACATACACATAATGATTACATGAACACTCA